CAGACTTCAATCCATGTCTCCACTTGTGTGCCCAGGATCCAAGTACTTTAACCATAATCTGCTGCCTCCCAAGGTGTGTGTTAGCAGATGGCTGGATCAGAAGCAGAGTAGTGGGCCTTGAACCAGGCATTCCAGTATGGGGTGCGGGCATCTGAGCTGGGCTTAACTGCTGCACCAAACACCTACCCTTTTTTTTTTTCTTTAAAGGGTAGTTTTTTTCAGAGTATACCGCTTAAAAACAATAAACAGAAAATTTACTGTTTTCAATATGAATTTTTTAAAGAAAAGATGTGTTTATTTATTTAAGAGGCACAGCCACACAGGGAGAGATAAACAGAAAGGTCTGCCAGAGAGGTCAGCCATCTGCTGGTTCACTCCCCAAAAGGCCGCAGGAGCTAGGCCAATCTGACGCCAGGAGCCAGGAGCTTCTTGTGGGTCGGTCTCCCATCAGAGTGCAGGGTTTCACGCACTTGGGCCATCTTCCACTGCTTTCCCAGGCCACAGCAGAGAGCTGGATCAGAAGAGGAGTAGCTGGGACTAGAACCAGTGCCCATATGGGATGCCGTTGTCAATGCAGAGGCTTAGCCTATACCACAGTGCCAGCCTCGGTATGAATGTTTTTAAAAGCTCTATTTAAGTTACAAATAACTTAGGGCAGTAAATATGCAATTTTATTTTCAGATGTTTCTTAATCACATTTATATCTGAAATAAAATATTCACTAGATATATTTTTGGCAGTTAATAAACCTTCAAAAAATGTATATAAGCACTTTACTAAGTGCTTTTCCACTATTTTAGAAATTAATTTTATTGCAGGAAGCTTTAGTCATTAAATGTTACTTAGTTATAATATTCCTCTGATCCACATTTACTTTAGCGCTTTGATTTGGTTCCCATCTTTTTTATATTAATCAGTGCAGTACATGGATGTGGAGAGCATTCTGTAAGTACTTTATAACTTTTCCATAGGTACCAGTAGCATTGTTATTAAAACACAGTATTAAAGATGCATACATTTCCTTTGTGTGCTACTTAATGAAACTGCATTTGTATTTTATGTTCTCCAAAACTCCTGCTCAGTGTACTTTCATTTCCTGAAGGATAAAAGTGCAATGTTACTTCAATAATTGTTTGCAGAAGCTTTCAGACTTAAAAAACATCCTACTCTCTAGAAAGACATGCCATAGTTAGCAACAAGAACTCATGAAATTTGGTTATAAACTCAAATATGTATCACCTTTAGTTCTTTTTCTCATATTAAAGTAGTGTCTCTTGTGGCAAGAAGTGTCCTACATAGAGGATCTCTGTGGGTGAGACCCCAGTGGTAAGAAGTAGTCATCAGCCGGCGCTTCAGCTCAATAGGCTAATCCTCTGCCTTGCGGCGCTGGCACACCGAGTTCTAGTCCTGGTCAGGGCGCCGGTTGCCCCTCTACCAGTCCAGCTCTCTGCTGTGGCCAGGGAGTGCAGTGGAGGATGGCCCAAGTGCTTGGGCCCTGCACCCCATGGGAGACCAGGATAAGCACCTGCTCCTGCCTTCGGATCAGCGCAATGCGCCGGCTGCAGCGTGCCGGCCGTGGCAGCCATTGGAGGGTGAACCAATGGCAAAAAGGAAGACCTTTCTCTCTGTCTCTCTCTCTCTAACTGTCCACTCTGCCTGTCCAAAAAAAAAAAAAAAAAAAAAAAAAGTCATCAAAAAAGGATGTACTTTTCTCTGAAGGGAGGAGAGAACTTCCACTTTGCTTATGGCCTTGTCTAAATCGGAGTTTGTGGATTCAGAAGGCTTCCATAGCCCAGGCAGCTCATGTTAAGAACCTCAGGTGATCACTGATATCATAAGAGTGTTAATTTTTAAATTTACAATAGGAGTCACTGTGCGCTTACTTCCCGTATAGGACCTCTGTCTCCAGAGTTGTATTATAAGAGTTAATAGTAAACTTGTTCTCAAGGACTTACTTTATTTTAGTGTATTAATTGGAGGATATTCTTAAGTCTCATAAGTTATAGTTTTGTCTAAGTGCTCGCAAAAGATCATTATTGGGTGCTTTTTTTTTTTTTTTTTTTTGACAGGCAGAGTGGATAGTGAGAGAGAGAGAGAGACAGAGAGAAAGGTCTTCCTTTTTGCCATTGGTTCACCCTCCAATGGCCGCCGCTGCCCGCGTGCTGCAACCAGCACATTGCGCTGATCCGAGGCCAGGAGCCAGGTAGCTTCCCCTGGTCTCCCATGGGGTGCAGCAGGGCCCAAGCACTTGGGCCATCCTCCACTGCACTCCCGGGCCATAGCAGAGAGCTGGCCTGGAAGAGCGGCAACCGGGACAGAATCCGGCGCCCTGACCGGGACTAGAACCCGGTGTGCCGGTGCCGCAAGGTGGAGGATTAGCCTACTGAGCCGCGGCGCCGGCAAATACATATTTTTTTTTTAATTTTTGACAGGCAGAGTTGGACAGTGAGAAAGAGACAGAGAGAAAGGTCTTCCTTTGCCATTGGTTCACCCTCCAATGGCCGCCGCACTGCGGCCGGTGCACCGCGCTGATTGAAGGCAGGAGCCAGGTGCTTATCCTGGTCTCCCATGGGATGCAGGGCCCAAGCAGTTGGGCCATCTTCCACTGCACTCCCGGGCCACAGCAGAGAGCTGGCCTGGAAGAGGGGCAACCGGGACAGAATCCGGCGCCCTGACCGGGACTAGAACCCAGTGTGCTGGCGCCGCAAGGCGGAGGATTAGCCTATTGAGCCGTGGTGCCGGCCCCTTGGGTGCTTCTTTAATTTTCTAAAAAAAAGTGCTTAAAAAGTGAAATCTTCTAGATGCAATGACTTTGAACAGCCCTTGACTGTTGAGGAACAGTTTATGTATATACAATTTGTTGAACTCTTAATGTAGAGTTAATCTTATGTGTATAAAGTTAATTGGAAATAGATCTTAGTTAAAAATAAGACTGGGAATAGGAGAGGGAGGAGGAAGAGGGATTAGAGTGTGGGTATGGTATGAAGAAACTATGTTCGTAAAGTTGTATTTATGAAATGCATGAAATTTGTATTCCTTAAATAAAAGGTTTCTTTGGGGAAAAAATAGTGTCTCATAGAACTCTACAAGGATTCATTATGTCTGAGTCAATGCCATGTTCCCTTTACAGGAGGACCTACAAGTTTAAGTCCCACATGCCCTTCTCATGTTTCTCTGGCTGTGACATGTGCCACTAATTCAGTGACTCCTGAATAGAACCAGAGCTCCAAGCAGCTCCAGGCAACTACAGGTTGACTAGAGTTGAAACAGGAGTTGAAATTATTTATTTGCCATCAATCTGAGTGAAAAATTGGATGAGCTGCTCACAGCTTTGAATGGTGCTACTTAAACTCTAGTGACCATACTAAGAGGAACATGTTCTCAGAGTTTATAGTTTCCTAAAATCTCCATTGCAAAATTCTTCTTCAGCTTTTCAGTACTTTATGGACCTAAATTACCAGGAGGCCAAATAATAGTAATACATAGTCTTAAATAAAAAGCTCTTCCATTTACTATAGAAAGCATAGTTGTTTTTTTTTTTTTTTTTTTTTTTTTTTTTTTTTTTTTGACAGGCAGAGTGGACAGTGAGAGAGAGAGACAGAGAGAAAGGTCTTCCTTTGCCGTTGGTTCACCCTCCAATGGCCGCCGCGGCCGGCGCGCTGCGGCCGGCGCACCGCGCTGATCCGATGGCAGGAGCCAGGAGCCAGGTGCTTCTCCTGGTCTCCCATGGGGTGCAGGGCCCAAGCACCTGGGCCATCCTCCACTGCACTCCCTGGCCACAGCAGAGGGCTGGCCTGGAAGAGGGGCAACCGGGACAGAATCCGGCGCCCCGACCGGGACTAGAACCCGGTGTGCCGGCGCCGCCAGGCGGAGGATTAGCCTAGTGAGCCGCGGCGCCGGCTAGAAAGCATAGTTTTTAAGGTTGTTGAATTTATGTGTTGAGCCTATAATATATGACAGTCACTTTACCAAAGCCTAAGAGAATTTGAAGATGAGTAAGACAGTTCTGTCCTCATAGGACTCAGAATTTAGCATGGGAGATGGATCATAATAGAGTTCTACACGAGTCGTGTGAAAATGTTAGGGAACACTGAGGACAGTGTTTGATGTCTGTGGGGAATAGTTGGATAGAGGCTTAGAGCTGTGTGAAGAATATTCAGACAGCCTTGAGGGTTGACCAGTGATCATGGGTCAAGTGAACAATGACAAGGACTTCCAGAAATGTGTTCTTTGCTATGTCTCAACAGTATGATGAATTAAGTGAAATGTAATCTAAATGATACAGCACTATAAACAGACATTGTACAAACTGTAAAGCACTATCAGAAGTTATTGCTGTGATCAGTCTTTGCACAATGGAAATCTGAAGGTATTAAATCTTAGAAATGTTGAATATCATGGCCAAGCTTAGGGTAGTTCTACTGGGAAGAAGGGTAAGGCTTTAGAGAGGAACGTAGTTCCTGGATCTCAAGTGTGCTGCTTGGGTCTAACAAAGACAAGCTTTTTTTACCCCAGTCAACCAGAGGGAGGCTTGGTTGAGGTCGTGGGGCGTGGCTAAAAGCCGCCCTGTGTGGGCAGGTCCTTATTTGACCACCTTCTTAGGGCAGAGGTTGCTGATGCCTCCACACTAATTGCGGCAGTGATGGTGCAGGCACCGACATCCCATATGAGCTCCACTTCTGACCCAGCTCCCTGCTAATGTGCCTGGGAAAGCAGCGGGAGGTGGCCCAAATGCATGGGCCCTTGCACCCATGTGGGAGACACAGAAGCAGCTCCTGGCTTTGGACTGGCACAGCTCCAGCCATTTGGGGAGTGAACCAGCAAATGGAAGATTCTCTCTGTAACTGCCTTGCAAATAATTAAAAAACTAAGGCTGACTATTGTTGAATGTTTTTCTCCCTTTTGTACATTTAGATATTAGATGACCTTCAAGAATGTGCCCAAAGAGAATATTTATACACACACACACACACACACACACACAAAACCACAGCCAGAAATTTTATGAATTCTTTAGAATGTAATTGGTATACTGGGGGAGCATACATCTCTAATGGAGATGTATTCTAGACAAAATACCATCTTAGAGGCACACATCTGAAGCTCAAGGGAGTAGTGAAATGCTGATTTGGTAGGAAGAACCAACAGAGCACTTAGCCATGGACTGTGCTACCCACAAGACCCAGAAGTCCAAGTTAGAAGTTTTCCAAATTTTGAAGCCAATTTTAACCTGGCTGCTCTTTTACATTCTAGCTGTTAAGAAACTCATGATAAAGAAGACTAAGTTAAGTTTTTGAAATGTTGTAACTTGGGAATTCAACATAAAAAAGGTAAAAACTGTCATTAGATCTGAGATTTATAAATCTTAGACTTGCAACTATGTATTGTCATTACAGGAAGACCCAACAGAGGCTAGAAGGACCTTTTGTAAATAACTGTGGAGACTGAACCACTTGAATTTTCTGCATTTCAGGAAATGAATTCATAATCATATTTTGCTTAACCTTCAGTATCTACATGCCACCTCAAAAGATCATAGGTTAAAAAAAAGCAGCTATCAAAGTTAATCACTTAGTGCACCAAACTGCCTTGAATTGAACATTAACTTAAACTGAACTAAAGCTACAACAGTGTTGACATTATTAAGTAAAAAATTGTTCCAGCAGTTGTTAACCTGTTAAGACTTCACTCAAGACTATTGTAACAGGCAAAGACAGCTGGGGATTTACAGCCAGCAGGCACAGGGAGGGGTCAACGGACAGGAAATTTCTAAGACCCATCACAGGTAGGGGGATTCTTGTTGAATTAACTTGACTGTTTTGCTGACAGTGGGCCAGGGTGGGGAATTCTCACTAAACTGACTTAGCAGGATTCTTGCTAAAACTGGGCTAAGCAAGTCAAAGACAGAACCCAAGGATGAGTCCTGGTTAAAAAATCGGTGCAGAGCAGCTTGTCTCAAAAAATTCACTTAATATAATCACAACCAAGCTTATCTTCTCCACATGCTCATCCACACTTCTATTGCTTAGTGATTTTGGCCATTCTAGTAGGTGTGCAGCACTACCCCCCATTGTTTTGAATTTTATTTCTGTGATGACCAATGATGCACATTTTGTCATGCTTCTTGGGTATCTTCTTTGGAGAATCTTCTATCAGATTCTTTGTCCATTTTTTTTTCTATTATATTATTGAATTTTAAGAGTTCTAATTCTGAACATAAGCTCATCAGGCATATGGTTTCCAAATAAGTCTGTACCATTCAGTGGGTTATATTTTTACTCTCTTAATGGTGTCCTTTGGAGCAAATTAAATCTTTAATTTTGATGAAGTCCAGTTTGTTTTTTTTTTTCCTTTTGCAGCAACGTAAGTTGCTTTAACTAGCATAACAAACTATTGCTGAGCTAGTACTGTGGCACAGGGGTTAAGCTACCACCTGCAATGCCAGCATCCCGTTTGAGTCCTGGCTGCTTCACTTCTGATCCAACTCCCTGCTAACGTGCCTGGGAAAGAAGCAAAAGATGGCCCATGTACTTGGGCCCCTGAACCCATGTCCAGGCTCCTGGTTTCAGACTGGTCCAACGCTGGCCACTGCAGCCATTTGGAGAGGGAACCAGCTGGTGGAAGATCTCTGTCTCTCCCTCTGTAACTCTGCCTTTGGAATAAAGAAAACTTAAAAACAACAAACTGTTGCTAAATCCAAGATCTTAAGATTTACTCTTGTGCCTTCTTCTGAGTTTTATCATCATTTCAAAATTTTAAGAATAATTCTTAGAGATGCCCAAACACCCTTCTGTCAAATAGAAAAGAAAAAAAATCCCAAAATCCATGGTTCCACTTGCAACTGGAATGTGTACAATCCCACCCAGAAGTTGCTATTTTTACTACTTTCCAATCATGTGAAAGTGCTTAGTTCTAATGTGGGCGAGAGGACTAAGGAATTCAAATTTAAATAGTGTAGGAATATTTGCTGTGTTATGTGGTGAGCAACACACTAGGTACTGGAGTTGGTGGGGGGGGGCTCAAAAGTAGTATCACTCAGGCCTGTTGACAGCATCAGAAACACAGGACAAGGTCTCCAATACTGTGAAGAGCGGCCCCTCAGAATGCAATGGCATTGGAGTGGAGGGCAGTTTCCAAAATCATGCCTCAAGGAAAAACTACATGCAAAAGCCTAAAGCTTGGGGAGTAACTGCTATGTAGTGAGAACTCCCAGGAGCTTACAGTGGCTGGGTGATCAGGGACAGGTGTAAGTGAACAAAACAGCAAGAGGAGTGAGAAACACTGTAGTAGCCAGAAAGGTAAAGCAGCTATCATGAGCAAAGAGGAGTGCCAGGTGCTGCAGATGCCTGGCCCAGTTCACTGTCCTTTTGGTGCTGGCATTGATGATTTCACTTTATATAACCCTAACCTAAGACCAACTTGTTACCTAACCTTGACCTTCCAGCTTGCCAAGTCCTGATGAATGAAAATTTTTGAGTTTTAAACTTTAAGGAGAGGGACTTGGAACAGTTTATAATTCCAAGTATCTGAATGACTTAAAGAGCTGTTTATTTTTTGCTCAATACTACTTGTGAAATGTTCTATACATGCAACTACTGTTTGTCTATTTTAAATTGACGTAATAATTATACATATAGTATATGCAGTGTAATTTTTACAAAAGATTTATTTGAGAGGCAGAGTTACAGACAGAAGGAGAGAAAGAGAGGTCTTCTATCCACTGGTTCACTCCCTAAATGGCTGCAACAGCCAGAGCTGTGCCAATCTGAAGCCAGGAGCCAGGAGCTTCTTCTGAGTCTTCCATATTCCCATGTGGGTGCAGGGGTCCAAGCACTTGGGCCATCTCCCACTGCTTTCCCAGACCATGAGTACTGAGCTGGATCTGAAGTGGTGCAGCCAGGACTCGAATCAGCAGCCATATGGGATGCTGGTGCTGCAGGCGGAGGCTCAACCTACTAAGCCACAGCGCCAGCCCAGAGTGATGCTCTATACATATACATACATACAGTGTACAGTGATCAAACCAGTTTTACTAATGTAAGTACCTGGGCCATCTTCTGTTGCTTTCCCAGGCACATTAGCAGGGAGCTGGATTGGAAGGAGAGTAGCTGGGACTTGAGTCAGTGCTCATATGAGATGCCAGTATCACAGGTGGCAACTTTACCTGTTTAGCCATAGCACTGGCCTCCTGATATAATCTTAGACCTAGAAATAATTCTTCACCAGAGTGAGATAAAATGCTACTTTTGGGGCTGGTGCTGTGGTGTGGTGGGTAAACTTGTCGCCTGTGGTGCCTACATTCCATATGGGCGCTGGTTTGAGTCCCAGATGCTCCACTTCCGATCCAGCTCTCTGCCATAGCCTGGGAAATCAGTGGAGGTTGGCCAGAGTCCTTGGGCACCTGCACCCACATGGGAGATCGGAAGAAGCTCCTGGCTTTGGATTGGTGCAGAACCAGCCATTGTGGCCACCTGGGGGGTGAACCAGAGAATGGAAGACCTCTCTCTCTAACTCTGCCTTTCAAATAAATAAATCAATCTTTTTTAAAAAATAAAATGTTTTCAGGAAAATTTTACTGTATGAATAATAGTTGTGCAAATGGAAATTTCAGTTCTTATCAAGCCACCTGTAATCAAGAATGTCCTCTTCTGCATTCAAATTAAGAATAATGTTCAAATTTTACTAATATAGTTATATGCAGGTGACAGAAAATAACAGTACACACTTGATCCTCCTTCTGAGTTGGCGATGAGGAAGAAACCTTCATGAGTGAAGATTCTCTCATGAAGGTCTCAATTTCCCTTTGAAAGAAAATGACATGACACCACCACTAGGTGTCTGTCACTGCACAGTTTTGAGCACCTTTTGTGTACAATGTGACTTTTACAGCCATCCTGTGACTAACCAGGTTTTAGTTATTCATTCTAATGAGGTATTTTCCCTGCAAACTTAGGATACCAAGAATAGTTGGTTCTTCTTTAGCATGTATTCAAAGAATAAGTAACAGTAAAAAAAAAAGTTTTTTTTAAAATTAACTTTAGTGTAGACATATTATAAAACAGCCTTCAAAGAGAAGACAAGAAATTTCTGAAGTCCATCTTTGGGTTCTCTTGGGATTCACTCTTGCTGAGCAACATCTTCAGTTGAGATAAGTGTTTTTTTGTTCTGCTCACATTCTTTGGGGAGCAAATAGGTGTTGACTGTCCAGACGTGGGTGTTCTGAAAAGAAAAAAAAAAAAAAAAAAACCACAGGCCAATAAATAATCTAATTTTCTTCCTCCTTTAGCCTAGGTAACTGCCACTACATTCATCTTCCACTTTTTTGTATGGCCACATATGGGGAGTGACTGTACTCAGCAGTCATTCCCATTTTGTTAAAAATCTCACTGAATAGGTTATAAGCAACATTTAGGAGATACACTAAGTGGTTCTGGAAATTTCTATCATACCTGAAAGATAAAGCTGTAGGTAAAGTGTCATTAGGTTCATGTATGCTTTAAGTCTGACACCAATATTCACAGCAATTCTACATAAAAATTTTAAAAACATGTTCCTTCCTCACAGCTCAATGCTTTTCTTAAAAATGAAGGATTTCAATCTATACAAGTAGGTACAATTCCATTGTATCTTCCCTGCTAGAAGGTAAGTTCAGCTCCATTATATATCCCAGCGCTTTCTGACTGCCAAACAGGAAGCACTCCAGAAATACCCACTGAATGAATGTATTTCATCCCCTCCGACTGTGCGCCATCTCCTTGGACCTTTGTTTGGGGTCTGTCAGTTTGTTCTTTGTTCTGCCTCGCCATCTGTATAATGTGAAGGCTGTTTCCTATTTCAGCACAGATCTAAACGCAGAGTCCTCCCTCCGTATCTGTGCCGCGTGCACTCCAGGAACTTCCCTCCCTCCACAACAGACACTACGATCTGCAGAAGCAGGAGTCCCCTGTATAAAACGCTGTAGTATCTGCATATAACCTACATAATCCTCCCAGTCGTCTCCTGATATTTATAATACCTAATACACTAAATGCGGGCCGGCGCCGCGGCTCACTAGGCTAATCCTCCGCCTTGCGGCGCCGGCACACCGGGTTCTAGTCCCGGTTGGGGCGCCGGATTCTGTCCCGGTGGCCCCTCTTCCAGGCCAGCTCTCTGCTGTGGCCAGGGAGTGCAGTGGAGGATGGCCCAGGTGCTTGGGCCCTGCACCCCATGGGAGACCAGGAAAAGCACCTGGCTCCTGCCATCAGATCAGCGCGGGGCGCCGGCCGCAGCGCGCTGGCCGCGGCGGCCATTGGAGGGTGAACCAACGGCAAAGGAAGACCTTTCTCTCTGTCTCTCTCTCTCACTGTCCACTCTGCCTGCCAAAAAATAAAAAAAATAAAAATAAATAAAAAAAATACACTAAATGCTATCTGGACGGCTGTTACATTAGACCCTTCAGGGAATACAAGAAAAAAGGTCTGTACATGTTCATTGTAGACATAACTTTTTCTGAATATTTCTCACTGCAATTGGTTCAATCTGTGGATGTAGGACCAGCAGATACAGAAGGCTAACTGGTCTGATACAAAGGCAAGTAAAGTGTTTTAAATGTGCCCAATTTCCTTGATGAATTCTTATACCAAATATCAAAATAATTCATCAAGAATATACAGAAAACTCAAAATATTAATTTTTGGGGCCAGCACTGTGGCTTATCCGGTAAAGCCATCATCTGCAGTGCTGGTATCCCGTATGGGCACCAGTTTGATACCTGGTTACTCCACTTCTGATCCAGCTCTCTGCGATGGCCTGGGAAAACAGTGGAGGATGGCCCAAGTCCTTGAGCTCCTGCACCCGCATGGGAGACATGGAGGAAGCTCCTGGCTCCTGGCTTTGGATCAGTGCAGCTCTGGCCAATGCAGCCATGCGGGGAGTGAATCGATAGATGGAGGACCTCTCTCTCTCTGTACCTCTGTCTTTCAAATAAATACATCTTTAAAAAATATATTTTAATTCTTACTCAATTTTATAAACTTCAAGCCCAGTATAAAAGTTTCAATTCAATAAGCAGATGGTCTAGTCCTTGGTGAATTTTATTATTTATGTTCAAAAAACCAGACTCAGTTTCTCTTCTGCAACAAAATTTTTCAAAATTCCTTTCAGTTTCTGTGAAATTAAATTTATGGAGTATCATAGTGAATAAGGTTTTGAGGATCACCCAAATAAACAGGTGCACAGTCTTACAGTTAAGGCACTTCTGATAGCAGAAAGAGCAAGAACAAAAGTTGAGAGAGGAGGCAGGCTGGGAAAGGTGCAGTGCTGGCGGCATATAGGATGGGTTAAGGCAAAGTAAGACAAGCGGGCAGACCAATGCCAGTCAGTGAGGCTGAGGGCTGTGCCAGAGTATTTGATCCATGCTGCAGGGTGAGTGTAAAAGGCTGCTAATCTGAACTGTTCTTTAAGAACAGACTTGAAAGGGGTTTGAAACTAGAAATAAGAAGATACTGTAGTAGTCTTGACAAAAAGTAAACAGGAAATGGAACGAGAATAGCAGAATTTGGGAGAAAAGGGAGAGAATACATGCAAAGAGCAAAGAAACAGAATAGATAAAAACTGGCAACAAGGAGCACGGGAGTAAGGGCTGTCAGCTGCACCCGCCAGAATGTCTAGCAGGGCACGTTCCAGTGACAGAACGAGCAGTAAGTTTGGGTGGCTGGCCGCAGGGACATGAGGAACTATGTTTTGGACATGTACAGGGCTGAAGTGGACAGATGCAGCGGGCAGCTGGGAGCAGGCCAGGGAGAGGCTGGCAGGAGAGTAATGCAACTGAAGTCACAAGCAATGCGCTGGAAGTTAAAGATACGGCAGTGTGTACCACTAGAAAAGGAGCATGGAGGGGAAAAGGGGCCAACTCCTGAACTGCACAGTCAGGATGTGTATTAAACAGAGGAAACCAGAAGAAGTAGTTGAGTGCACACTGCCAATTCAAATAAGGCTATAAATGAAGATACCTGAAAGTCAGTGCCGGGCTCTTGCCTCTGGACGCAGACAGAGTAAGGTTTACTGCATTTGGAGTCCTCCTCTCCGCTATCTCCTGGCTGAGCTTACTCAGTGGAGTGCTGGGGCTGCTCTTCAGTGCTGACAGGAAGCTTCTACTTTTACCAGGATGCTGAACTGCTCTGTTGCATGTTTTACAAGTAACCAACTACCATAAAAAGAAGAAGCCAGTGAGTTCATAACAAGCAACACGATCACTACATTCTTGGATGTTATACTTTATCAGTCTAAGACTGTGTTTGGGTAGGAGACTAGAGATGGCCCTCCTCTGTAATAGCGGTAGACATTTATTTTAGAATACGAACTTCAAGCCTTTTCCCCATAAAACATAAAACTTAAGTGCCCTCCTTAAATCCTTAACAATTCTATGATTATAGGTCTAATTTATCAAACCAAATGAATAATCACATTCTCACACCTCATTTCCATCACTGACTTTTTTAGGATTCATTTAAGTAATGGTCCATTTTCTAGCAAAATCTTTTCTTCTACATATGTAACTCACAATGTACAGAATTCAGCCCATGCCTCAGTAAAATTCGTATAAGCTGGCTTGGCGAGCAGATGTTCATGAGCACACAAAAATGTAAATGTGGGATCTGCATTTATCACAGTGTAGGTTATTTTGTACTTTTTGGAAAGAGGTGATATATAAATCAAAATAAATCAGCCAAACACCCTTAGCACTTTTCTAGTTGACCTGATTAAAAAAGGCAAAACACTGGAAGACAGGCAGCTTTTATCATCTTCCTATTTAAGAACATTTTTCAATATGTGGCAGAAACTTTTTTGGAATAAGAGAATTCTATTCACTTCACTATTCTATCTTTTCTCTTTCTCTGAAGACTCAATCTTATGACAAAGCACAATGTACTTACCTGATGTAATACTGGCAAACCCCTAAATATGACAATTTTCAATTGAAGTTATTAATAGTCGTAATCATGTACCATCCCTAAGTTGTTATAATGTCCAGTGCCCAACACATACCTGCCAGTAAGCAGGCACTTGAATAACTGATGAATGTTAACAGGATATGCAGCATATAAAATATATCTGCTATGGTCTCTATCACATGTATCTAGTAAACCCTAAGTCATTTTTATGTTCCATTTTATATCTCCAATTCTAGCCACTGTTTGGCATATGAGAGACCTCCAATCAACGCTTAAAGGTGAACACAAGGTACACTCACCTTTGTTGGACAATTAAACATACACTGACTTGAGGGTGGGAAGAATGACGGATGAAGTAGCAATGGTACCTACATACATAAGGTAGAGCTGTTTGATGAAAAGAACCGCTAACCGAAAAAAAATAATATAGTGCTGCTAAGTGCAACTCATGTGGTGGTATCATGTGGTGGTCTCATACAAAAGGACTTCAAAAAGTCCATGGAAAAAAAACGAAACTCTTTCTAAATCCATGCATAGTTTTTCCATTCTATACATTTTCCATGAACTTTCTGAAGACCCCTTGTATTGATCATCTCAAGAAATCCTCAAATTTGTGAAAATAAATGTGCTCAATAATAAAGTCTGAGAACTTTGGTAACCATGAAATATAAGCCATACACCTGATGATACACCAATCATGAGAAAATACTATAAATCTGAGAGTGACATTCAGGTTGATTTAAAAACAAAACAGAAAAATTTACATATTTATTTGCAAGAGTAGAGAGAGAAAGTCTCCATCTGCTGGTTTGCTCCCGAGATGGCCGTAATGGCCAGGGTTGGGCGGCATATAGGATGAAGCCAGGAGCCAGGAGCTTCATCCCCATCTCCCATGTGGGTGGCAGGGACCCAAACACTTGAACCGACTTCCACTGCTTTCCCCAAGCCATTAGCAGAGAATTAGATTGGAAGTGAAGCAGCCAGGATATGAACTGTACCCATATGGGATGCCGGTGTTGCAGGTGGTGGCCTTACCCACTTACACCATAATGCTGGCCACTTCAGCTTCATTCTTAAAGAAAAGAAAAATTTGTTTATTCATACATATGGAAGTAAAATCTTACCAATACACTCTTGGAGTCTCTGTATTTTTTCAAAATTTTTGCTTCTTTAAAACTGAGTGTAAAATTTCTTGCTTCTCGATTAAGAAGTTTCTGTATTTTAGGTGTCAATTTGGCCTTGGGTTTGAGGCGCACTCGAGAATTATCCAGAACCAACAGCTGGAAACAGTATGGACATGTTTCTTCAAAATTGCTCTTATCATCTAAAATTAGACATGAAACTCAGTGTTCAGCAAATCAGAATACCGTTACCTCAAATAAACCTCCAACATTACGGAAAAGTACACTGATACTTAACATAAGCAGACAGACATTCTCTAAGGCAACTCCAAAGATGAACAGTCATCCCCTCTTGGCCTTTTGGCTAATAGGTTCGTGTAAAAAGATGAACATGTACAAAATGATAAACTGACAACAATTTATTTTCCAAATACTACAATTCCATCCATTTGCTCCTCTCAACAACAGATAGGCGAGTCTCCAATTTTTGCTACCTGGCTCATTACTTGATTAAGTTAAAAAAGGGCCGTTATATTTTACCAACATATTTACCACAAAATAACAAATTGTACTGTACATTTGTTTCATTTTTAGAAAATTAGCACATGAATGAAGTACCTACTGTAAAGCACTGTGTTAAGTGCCAGGGTTACAATTACAAAGCTCTATGAGCCATGTTTGTATGTCAGCTCTGCTCAATGTAAAATGTATTCTCATTTACTGAGTGACTGTGAAGTGCCACGCACTGTCCTGGATGCTGGAGATACAGCAGAAAAAAACCAAGGACACTCATAAAGGCAGATACTAACTAACAACACTAAACACTAAGGGGGGGGGGGATAAGAGTACGATGGGAAAGGGAGTGCTCACGGAGCTACCAGCATCTTGGGTAGGGTGGCCAGGAAGGCTTCACTGGGTCACACTTGCAGGGAGGAGGGAGACTTGTGAAGCAACAGTGGTAGCCACAGGGCCGGCAGCTGCAGAGGCCCTGAACCAACAGCCAGGAGGCCTATTGTGGCTGCCGGTGAGCGAAGAGAGCCGAGTCAGGCGGGCCGGCAGGGAGGGCCTTCCAGTCCTTTTAGAACTTGCTCTTACTGGGCGATGGGAAGTCACTTAAGGAGAGGAGTGGCACGCTCTGCTTTTACCACAATCACTTGGACTGCTGCCTTGGGAACAGACCACAGGAGCCACCGACAGCATCCGGATCGGGAGGCAGCGGGGGCTTGGACCAGGGTGGTGCCAATGGATGAGGTGAGAAGTAGCCAGCTGGATACACCTTACAGCCTACAGGATTTGCTTGAGAGCAGGGTAGGGCTGTTAGGGAATCCAGAATGGCTCTAGGGGTTGGGGCTGAGGAACTATTGCAAGGTGAAACTCTGGAGGGGGGGGCTGAATGGGGGAGAGTTCCGACTGGGGACACGGTAAGTTTGCAGACCTCACTAGACACTGAAAAGAAGCTGTCAAGAAGGCACGTGGATATGTGACCCTGGAATTTGGGGAGCGGTCCGGGCGGGGTGTAGAACTCTGCAAGTCCTTAGGATAACGAGACTGGATGAAAAACGGTCACCAAGGAGTTGGCCTGCAGCTAGGAACAAGGCCCAAGGGCCGAGCGCTGGGACATTACCCTATTCGCGGGTAGGGGAGACTGGGAAGCAGCCGCAGAGCGGGCCAAGAAGTCCTGGCTAAAGCAGCAAGAGGTGAACTTGGCCATGACCTGGAAGCCACGTGAGGAAACCCTGCTAGACGGATCCCGCGTCAGATGCCGCCGTGAGGTCAAGCCAAGGAAGGCGCACTAAGGAATAGGGCATTTTCCCAAAACCCAGAGGCATCCGGGTCTTTCCTAATGAGAGGGCCGGGGCTTTTCTTGGGGTCCCTGCGAGCGCGGTGGAGGAGAGCGAGCCGCCGGCATCCCACCCACCGCGGACGGGCGCGCTCCCTACCGTGGGACGAACCGTAGGCCCAGCTGTAAGAGACAGAAAGACTCGTGAGAGGCGAAGCAGCACCAACTCGCCGCGCGCCCCCGCTGCCCGCCCGGCCTTCTCTTACAGCAGATAGCGAGCCTGGCCCGGACAGGAAGAGTGCAGCTTCCGCGCCGCGGCCTCCAGGTAGTGCTTTTGCCTCATCGCCCCCGCAGCCGCAAGCCGGTGGGGAAAGGAGGCGCCGGAAATGGCTTTCCCAGCGTCGCCGACAACCGGCACGGCTCCCTCCGGAAACTGACACCCTCGGCAGATGGGTTCCGGGTTCCTTCGCGTCGCGTGTAGCGCGCAGGCGCGCCCAGCTAGGCCCCGCCCGCGGCCCCGCCCCTCGGCCCTGCGGCTTCTACCTCAGTGAGAGTCCTGACCCGGGGGCCAGGTCCGCACTAGGAAGCCCTGTCCCGCGTTCTGTCCGCCTCGGCTGCTTGTGTTTTCTCTACGCTCTTGTTGTGGTCTCCTCCCCGGCCTCGTCTAGATTCTCCAGCCAGAGTAATGGAGGCCCCTGGTAAGAGTGGGGGTCCTAGGCTCCCGACTGGCCGAGGGGGCAAGCCTGCCCTTGGCCGGTGTGCAATCCAGCTTTCCTTGTCCTAAGTTAAAACGAAATTCACACGCCATAAAGTAAGCCGTTCTAAGGTAAACAGTTTGGGGCCCGTGTTGGGGCGCTGCAGGACAAGCCTGCTCTCGAGGCCGGCATCCCCTCTGAGCGCCAGGACTAGTCTGGACAGCCCCACTTCCGATCCAGCTTCCTGCTAATGCGCCCCCGGACAGGGAAAGAGCAGAGGAAGGCCCAAGTGCTTGGGCCCTGCCGCCCAGCTCGGAGACAGGTAGCGGCTCCTGGCTCCCGGCTCCCGCCTGGCTCAGCCTCGGCTATTGCAGCCCTTTGGGGAGTGAGCCAGCAGGTGGAAGACCTCTGTCTCTCATTCCTTTATGTCACGCTGCCTTTCAAACAAGTAAGTAAATCTTGGAAAAGGTAAACAGTTCAGTGGCCTGCAGTACATGGTTAACTGCAGCCACCGCCTCTGCTGAGCAGCAGCACATTTCTGGCAGGCCAGGGATAACCCGCCGCTATCTTAAACATTGACTCGTTCTCCTCGCCCTCCTAGGCCCTGGCAATCGCTAGCCTGCTCTCCACCTCTGTGGATTTGCCCATTCTGGGCCTTTCATATAAGCAGAGTCATAAAATATGCAACCTTTTGTGTCTGGCATCTTTCCTCAAGCTCATTTTTGAGATCACCTTGGAGCATGTGTCAGTATTTCATTCCTTTTCATGCCTGAATAATATTCCGCTGTACAGGCATACTACTTTTATTTATCCTTTTGTCAATTGATGGGTATTTGATTTGCTTCTTTGGGCTATTATGAAGAGTACTGCTGTGAAACAAGCACACATGTGTTTGAGTAGCTGTTTTCTATTCTTTCCATTTATGCCTAGAAGTGGTTTTGCTGGGTCATCCCGGAATTCTATATATAACAAGGGTTCCTTGCAAGCTCTGCCGTGGGCCTCTCCCAGGTGTCCATGGTTAGCAGCCATCCCAGGGGCTCCCTCTGGGCTGGGTTGACAGGACAGACTCCTGCAGTTGGTTCAGGTTCCTCCCATAGAAGGGTGGCATTGCTGTCATCCTGGCAAACAGGATCACCCCCAGACTCCAGATGTCAGCCTTAAAGGTGCCGTAGTCCTAGAGAAAAATTCTGGGGCATGGTACTGTGGGGTGCACAATACCCTCTCATCTGCCAGGGGCTGATGCTGAAGTCAGCCAGTTTGATCTCCACGTGCGAGTCAACAGCCCGTTACTTGGCGTTAGGTCTCTGTGTGCCATGCGGTTCATGTGGCACTGGTGCACAGGTGACAGGGTCTGGCTGAACGGTGAGCTGGCCTCGCCCTCCTGCAGACCACCCAGCACCAACACATGCGCCGGAGATTGCCCCGGCTGGCCAGCTGCATCACCAGGGATGTGTGCTTGGCTGTGGGCCTCACCCCCAGGAGGCGGTGATGTTCTGCTGACGCAGGCTCGCCAGGATGGCCCTTTTCCCCCTGCTTCCCCGAGCTGGAAGGCGACTGGCAGACTTGCATGAGGATCTTCACAGCCAGATGCCTCCCGGTGGCCACGCGGTGGGCAAGCTTCACCAAGCCCATGCGGTACAGGAAGTGGTACCCATTAAGGGCATTCACTTCCTGATGGAATGCCTCGGAGCCTTCCATCCTGGTGTTCACCTGTCTGTTTCAATGACTCACTCTATCAAATGCTAACTGATAACTATCCTATGATACCCAATAAATGAATCACAAGGAGACTAACTGCTAATATGACTGACACAGAACACTAGCTCACCAACTATACCAATGATACTGAGCAAGGCTTAGCACTGGCCAAATAACATTGAAAACAAAAAGAGGAAAACAAAACAAAACCCTCTATATTAAGTACACTAATACTACTAAGTCTAATAGTACTGCCTAAATAAAAATGGGGGGAAGCAAAAATTTTTAAAAATGCAAAAATATAAAAGTGGGCAAAAAATAGGCAGAAAAAAAAACTAAATGGGAAACAATACACAAAATAGACCAAGAAACAAAAGAGCAAACAAATACACCAAAAAGCACAAATGCTACATTAGGTGGGTACAAGTAACACAGGTCACCAAAAATAGCTCCCTGGGTAAGGCAGACAAAAATCTAGGGCCCATGTGTAGCTATATGCATGCTTTTGAAATTACATGAGGTGGTGCCTCATGAAATCAGAGCAAGACATGGCCCAATCACAGCTGCAGATAACCCACCGGGTTTTTCTCAAGAACCTTCTGCTTAAATAAAAGCAAGGATCCCCAGAGCTTTTTGCTTAGGTTGGTGATAGAGATTGATGTCTATTTTTTGAGAAAAACTTTAGGATGTTTCAATGACCTTTTCATTTCTAATTTAAAAAAGTGATAACTTTTGGCTTTTGAAGACCTCCTAATATCTACACTAGAAATATCTACTCCTTTTCCTTTAACCTCTGAATAATAGGTCTCAAAATCAAGGTACAGGCCGGCGCCGCGGCTCACTAGGCTAATCCTCCGCCTAGCGGCGCCGGCACACCGGGTTCTAGTCCCGGTCGGGGCGCCGGATTCTGTCCCGGTTGCCCCTCTTCCAGGCCAGCCCTCTGCTGTGGCCAGGGAGTGCAGTGGAGGATGGCCCAGGTGCTTGGGCCCTGCACCCCATGGGAGACCAGGAAAAGCACCTGACTCCTGGCTCCTGCCATCGGATCAGCGCAGTGCGCCGGCCGCAGCGCGCCGGCCGCGGCGGCCATTGGAGGGTGAACCAACGGCAAAGGAAGACCTTTCTCTCTGTCTCTCTCTCTCACTGTCCACTCTGCCTGTCAAAAAAATAAAAAAAAAAAAAAAGAAAAAAAAAGAAAAAAAAAATCAAGGTACAAGTTCTGGAGCATCATGATACTGTGACAAATGCTCTGTTGCCCAAGACACCAGCAGGTACAATATTCACATCTACAGAGCTGAGCCGAAGGTAACTGTCCTCATGATTTCCCCCTAAGATCACCATCAGATTTTTCATCAGAAACCCTGGAGGACCAAAAGGTAGTAGGGTTGATATAGTCCAGGTATGGAAGGCCAAATAAGTGTTAGCCAAGAAAGCTACATCCTCCAAGGTGAAGACTTGAGTAGTGGGGTGAAATTGAGGCATTTCGACTTGTCAGGTTTTTTGGGCCACTAGAACAAAATACGTTGACCTGGGTCATTGAAAAAATATCAGAAATTTACTTCTGAGTTTTCTGGATCAAGGCAGCAGCAGACTTGGTGTCTGGAGAGAGCTAACTCTGCTGCCAAGATGGGGCCTTCTTCACAGAAAAAAAATAAGGAAATGGACAGGCTGGTGGCCTGGGATGGCCTGTTGAAACCATGAATGTATTCATATCTATGCAGACATCTTATCCCCACTCTTGCAACCTCCCATTCCACTTCTCCGATGTAGTCAATGTTAGTATTTGGGTGTCTTCCATATCCTTATATGCTGAAGCACATACACACATATATTTTTTTTAATTTGACAGGTAGAGTTATAGACAGTGAGAGAAAGACAGAGAGAAAGGTCTTCCTTCTGTTGATTCGCTCCTCAAATGGCTGCTACGGCTGGCGCTGTGCTGATCCGAAGCCAGGAGCCGGGTGCTTCCTCCTGGTCTCCCATGCGGGTGTAGGGCCCAAGCACTTGGGCCATCCTCCGCTGCCCTCCCGGGCCACAGCAGAGAGCTGGACTGGACGAGGAGCAACCAGGACTAGAACCTGGTGCCCCAACTAGGACTAGAACCCAGGGTGCCAGCACTGCAGGTGGAGGATTAGCCAAGTCAGCCATGGCACTGGCCCCACATACACACATATGTAAACATGTCCCACCTACTACTACTACACACAAAAAGAAACAAAGCCAAATCCACATATGAAAAAACCAAAGCCCAGAAGAGAATTTTAGACCCTTTTTACATAACTTGTGTTTTCCTTAACAGGCCACAGTCATCTTAGAAGTCAATATATATAATTCTCACACATGCTTTTTAGTAACTGACAGTGCTTCAAAGTGTAATGTACCATAACTGATTTCACCATTTTCCTGTGGGTGCAAATGCAAAAGCATTTTCTATGCTTTGCTAGTTCAGACAGTACAACAGCAGAAATCTTGTGCATCCTGGTGCTTTCTAATCTCTTTTGTCAGAATTTCTAAAAGAAATTTCTGGGTAAAATGACATGCATTATTTTTATCTGCCTTGTGGTTCAAAAAAGGTTGTCACAACTCCTGTTTCCAATTTCAGTGACTGAGAAGGACAGCCACATTGGATGGGCAAAGAGGCAGTGACTCTTTTCCTATGTTTCTATTTCCTATGTTTCTTTTTCCTATGCTTCTATTAAAGAGATAGCTTCTATTGGATTGTGTATCCATTTCTAGGAGATATTTGCATTTTGGGGAAGTTTGTCTTCTGTTTGTCATATATAATATTTTCTTACCTCTTACTCATCTTTGGCATGGTATATAGAAATATTTTACCATACAGAATTTTGTATGTGGTCAAAAAAGTCACTGTTCATTATGAATTCTGTGTTTTCTAGGTAGCTTAACAAGGCTCAGTTTGTGTTTAGGTTAGTCAACTAAGTATTCATCCAAACATATGGATTTCTTCGATGGACACTTTTACTTGGTAATAAATATTTTTTCACTTATATGTAAGGTAGAGTGTGTTTTCTTTTTTAAAGA